TGTCTCCATGTCTACCCTACTACAACCCACATCCAAGGGGGCTAAACCCAATCAACCAGCAGAGCAGCCATCAAACATGAATTCATGACAGTAAAGTACACTTTAAATTGAAGGATCCAAAGACCAAAATTTGTGAAGGATGCATACCTCTAAGAACCAGTCATACAATGCAAAGAAGAGAGGCCGAGCAAACAAATCCGAGACTGCACCTTCAGCTATGGGCATAGACCCAAGGCTTCCCCCACTCAAAAAATTGGTAAGGAGGTTGCTTGCATTGTCCAGTAACTTTCTTCTTGTTTTTGGTTCATCAGTACTAGTTGATTGGCACCTACATTCAGAAAATTCACATCATATTCCATAATTCTACAATAAACATAAGGCGTAAAACGGAAAAGAAATAGGAAGTCCAATATATTCTGCTCAAGCTACAGGGTACTCATTACTCACTCTGTTTATATTGTACAAAACATACTTCAAAGAGTTTTTTTTTCTCTGGGAAACAACTGAAATACAAGTTTCAATTTTTCTTGTCTTTTCTTTTTCTTCTATTGAATTCAGATAAAACATACGGAGAAAGCATGCCAAACCGATTGCAGGAAGAAAAGGAAAACACAAATTATAAGCTAGGCATAAAAAAAAGGAGAATCGCTGGGTTCCCAGAAATTGTGGAATAGGAAGCAGAAACGCAAGTTAGAATCTCTCTCTCTCTCTCTCTCTCTCTCTCTCTCTCTCATGTAAAGAAACTAAAACATTTAAATTGTAATTGAAATATCAACTTCTCCAAGAAACCCAGAAGATAGAAAATGTTTTAACTGCTTAAATGAGTATATGGCCATCATGTTATTACTGCAGAAAACACTATCAGCAAAAGTTGAAGAAAGAGAAATACCTGATAGGATTAGTGGTGGACTTGGAATTGAGAAGATGAGTGGTGGTTGAAGAGTGGAAATGACCAAATTCACTTCTCTGAAAGTTGACATTAATAAGAGCTGGGGGAGAGGGATGCAACAGAGAGTAACCAGCCATGGCCATTAGGCAATAAGCAGCAGACAGTTCTTAGCGTTTTGAGCAGTGTGAGTTCAGCTGGGGATATCTTAGTACTTGGGATATTTGCAACACACAACACTAAAATGTTGGAAGAATGACATAAACAAACATGGAAGAAAAAAGAATTTGTGGGTGGTTACTTTTTTGGGAGTTTCACCAAAACACTCAAAATGAAGGCTGAAATTATAAAAAAAACCCAACATCCAAAACATTTTATAAACACACCCAAAACCCATCATTACACACACTCAAAATCCATTTATAAAACACACCCAAAAAATATACAATTGTTGATTTTGAGTGTGTTTCTATGTTTAAATAGTATTTGAATTTTTTTATAAATACATGTCTAGTATTGGGTTTATTTCTTCAGACCAAAAAAAAAAAAGTATTGGGTTTATTTATAAATTTGTATATTTTTTTTGTCACACTCATTTGCCTGCCTGCCCCACTAAAAATCAGGAAAGCCAAATTATCCAGAGCCTGACCTAACAAAGTGCACAAATTCATCAATGAATTAGTAAATGGCTGTCTGCTTCCTTGTTCACTTTCTTCATGCTTAGTTGAGTGAGTCCACTTCCGTTTGGTAAACACTGCTCCTATGATTCCTTACTGTTGCGTGAAGTTAGTGGCCCAGGCTTATTTTACACATGGGCCTAATCAAAACTCATAAACCCAAGACTGTTGGGCCTTTGGTTTCTAATTGCAACTATCAATTCAACAAAAGAACTTCTAACTGCAATGTTCATGCACGCATGGACTATTCTCAACTGTTTATGCGTTGTACTTGACTGAAAAGGTGTCTAATTACAAACATCAATTCATTAAAAGAAATGCTAAAGGGACCATACACCGAAGAGTGAGCAACCTTACGAGTAATGGAGTGTGAACGACTGATCTTAGCACATCACGTTTCTTAGCTTATTCAAGGATGGCTAGATGCACGAGATAGTTCATTCATATATGTATGTTTTTTGTTGACTATTCCCCACCAATAAAGTTGTTGACAAATTTGAAAGCGGGGAAATCCAGATTCCCGGGTTGTGTGTAAGGATGGCCCACATTGACTATTTTTCACCGACTACAGAGTGCAGACAATATAAACAGCTGAGAGCGGAGACAATCGTAGAGAAGAAGATCGGTTAGTAAAATTACTGAATTGTCTGAGGGATCAGAACCCATTTTCACACACACATTGGAGAAGCCATTCCCATGTTTCAGAGACTGCGATGCTTTTAACATCAGTAGGGAAGGGAGGCTGATGGAATTTAACAGACAGTAAAAGAAGAAACCAGTTGGTCAATGCTGCCGCAGATTGAGTTGTAGTCCAGCCAAGCCTTATGGAGTCATTTTAAGAAAACTGAACACTGGTCAGTGGTCAAAAGGAACGTGTGCTAAATATATAAGGCCGTCATCTGTTTGAATTTTGATATCACGTTCTTGTATTTATATTCTTAAATCTTATCATGTGTCCCTGCCTAACACATGTTCTCTTCTTTGACTCTCCTTCTGCTGGTTGAGAGGTGAGACTTCAGTTTATCATTTTGTGAGGCAAATTGAAGACCAATTTGCATGTGAGTTCAAAGAAAAAGAAAAAAAAAAAAAAAGCAACCCATCTTAATTCATATATACAAAGTTCCAAAAATAAAATAAAATATGTTTAGATATGTTACAAAATTTTCAAAATAAATGCATGAAGTTTTGTGTATCCTTAATTAAAGACATGTAATTGCGTGTGGATTAGGGTTTTGAAAAACGAAGTGTTTTATGTCTTGTAAGGCGAGGCATAGACCTTGAGGCGTTAGGATTAAGACTCTTGATTGAACATTAAATTTTCAAAGCTAATTTGATATCTTGTTATGGACAACCACACCAGCATGCTTGCTTGATGAATGGTCATTGTTAAGGTGAAGCAAATTGACGTAACAATAACCTAAGGAAGATTCAAAGTAGAAAAGTCTACATCCATCTACACAAAGAAGAAATGGAAAACGAATCAGCAATGACTTCGATTTGACTTCTTTTATTTATCTTTCTGGTTCATATGTTTTCTGGTTTAAAAATGCTTTGTTTCGGGATATGAGACACAAGCCAATGCATAGGCACATCTTAAAAGGTCTGGTCTTAATCTTCTGGAGAATTCACAATTGTAAATCCCTATAAAGTTGACAATGGAGGGCTAATTTAGGCTATGGCTTGCATCAGATGGGCTCCAGCCAGCACTACAAGTATGTGTAAAAGAGAAATGCTTGGCCTGTAAAGTATTTTCATCTTTGAAGAAAACCTCAATCACCTTTTTTTATTATTAATTAGAAGATTAGGCCCTATGTTGCAGGGTTCTTTTTTGGCCTATTGGCCTAAACCTGGTAGGTTTAGGTGCTTAGGGGTTGAATTACTAACAACATTCAGGCCGCAACTGGCCTCAATTCAAATGATTTTGCAAACCAAAAAGAGATTCCAAACTTTTTCTTATTATTATTATTATTATTATAATATACTACGCGGGCACTAACTTACTTATTAATTTTTAGATACCAACACATTTGCCGTCTCATTTGTTTTAATTACATAATTTGTTATAATAATAAAAAAAATAAAAGAATTTCACACAAGTAAATAAAAAAGAAAAGAAACCCAACGATTTTAGATTTAGGGATAAACCCTTCTTCCTCTCTGAAAAACCCTAGAAATTCAACCGTCCTTCCATTTAATATGAATCGTATTCAATTATTGTGATTAACTTACTGTAAAACCCTAATCAGAACTTGTAATTGTGATTAGCCATAAATAAATATACCATTGCAACCAAAAAGAAACCAATAATTCATTTAGTTGTTGTGACCTATGCCTTCGTTCCTATGTGCTCAACAAGCTTGACTTTTTAACCAAAGAAAGGACAAACAACTTCCAAGTGGCCCTCAGTTATCCCCTAAATGAGTCTTATCTTTTTATAATTTGGTAAAATTAACAAGGAAAAAAATTGCTATTAATGGATCTGGAACTATCAGAGTACATACTTTAAAAAGGCAATTTTTTTATATTAAATATACTAGGTTTTTATTTATTTTATTTTATGTGGAGTCCGGGCCAGTTGTGCCAAAAACGACCGAGCATCAAGTAAAACGACAAAACAAGGCTTGAAAGGAAGGCGCTCGGTTGTTTATCTGTGGCCCAAAACCCAACGTCTCCTAAGTGCCACGAGTCACCTACCTCCACCACCACCACGGTCCACCATCACCAATCACATGATGAGGTGGCCACCTTCGACCATGACGTCATCACGATAAAGTTGACGTGGCGTCTGGCCTTTATGTTGCTTCCGGGAAACCATGCAACAACACGCACACTTTCTATACAAAGACTTCACCTTCCAGAAACCTTATATTTACATTATTTTAAGGAGTTACACCAATTGAGGTTTTCGGTGTTTTCACAAAACTTATTAAAATTTTAAAAATTATACGCACATCTTTTGAGGTTTTTATTTAGTTTCAGAAGACCCCTTTACATTAATTTTTCATCCAAAATATAATAATTTCATACATAATATCTTTTGTAAATAACAAAATTAACTTCAATGAATATATGTGCAATCTAATTTCAAAACTAACTTTGTCATTTCAAGAATTTTTATATATAAAATCATTAATTTTTGGACTAAAAATCAATAGAAAGGGATTTTTTTAAAAAACAATTTAAGAATTAAAGGGGCGTTCATGTAAGTTTTAAAATGTCAAGGGATTTTATGAAAACACTGAAAATCTCAAGGGGTGTTAGTGTATATTATTCCATCACAGCCCACCAGCATCACCCCACGTGCTATGTCACGTGACCTCAGACTTATCTTTCTCAAATCAACGGTCAAGATCATCCTGAAAAGTCTTCCTTTGACCCCATTCAAGCCTCCATAAATAGCTTACCCCTACTATCTTATTCCTTCCCTCTAACCCAAAACAAAGAAAACCCAAAACCCCCTCTATCCCTCTCTCTCTCTCTCTCTCTCTCTCTCAAACACAAGAATCACATTGTTGTATGGCCATGAGTGGTACTGGAACCATGTCCAATAACCCTAATGACTGGCTCCAATTCTACAACCAAACCTTGTCTTCTTCTCAAGGTCAGGTGTCTCATGGCCACATTTCTTCAGGTATTAATACTTCAACTTTTTTTGGTCATGACCAAGTCTCTGAAGCCACTGTGGTCACCACAACTCCATCCGCTGCCGCCACAACAAGTGCCGTTGGCTCCGCCAATCCGGGCTCCAGCACCAACAGTTTGAGCCCGGATCAAGGGCGGGTTTCGAAACCAGCCCGAAAGAGATCTAGAGCCTCGAGACGGACCCCCACCACGCTACTCAACACGGACACTACGAACTTCCGTGCCATGGTGCAGCAGTTCACCGGGGGCCCTAACACGGCGTCGTTTCCCTCAGGTGGGTCCAGTTTTAGTTTCGGGCTGGCCCCACCTAGGCCACAGGGCTTTATGGTGTCTCCGGGGTATCATCCTCTACAGCCTCAGCAGCAGCAACAACATCATCCGTACCAGCAACAACAACAACGTCAGAACCAGCAATACTTGGTTGGTGCAGGAGTTGGGGATGGGTTTCTCCAGAGATTGAGCTCATCATCAAGAGGAGGACCCACAAACATGGGATTTGGGGGTTCGTCTGATCATGTTGCTGATCATCATGAGTTTTTGAGGGAGGGTATGTCGTCGTCCCAAGTGCCGTCTGCAGCTAGGCCCGGCTCTAACGCTGCCAATGAGAACAGGAGTGGCAGTTTCATGTTTTGAGAGGGACGTAAAGCAGAAAAGTTAGGTAGACTGACTTATCGTAGGGACACAATTCTTGACTAGTGTATATATACGGAAACAATATTTCTATATATATAATATAATGTATGCTTTTTCGACAGATTCAGATACCAAATGTCTTCTTCTTTTTTATATATACGTTGTGGTCCTTTTTCTCATTTTGTTTTTTTAATATCCTTTTAATTTTCTAATTTTGAGATGCTTTTTACCAAATGCTCTATTTTGTCAAGTTATTATTAATAAACGAGTCCTCTCAAATGAGCGACAACAACAAAATGTGACTGATTGTTTCGATTGTGGGATTCAGTTCATAGATAGATCTAAGTATTTAGATCTTTTAAGTAACTGGTGTTAAGCAATTAGTTATTAGTTTGTTAATATTTTCTGTGGAATATGTGTGTCCCGAGCTTTTGAATTGTTTACTAGAACAATATATAATATGAATCATACTATGTATGAAGGTAGAATTCATCGTCATTTTGACTCAAATATTCTGTGTTTTTTCACGAATACTTTAAAAAAGTCATAGTGCACTCCCTTTCATAAAAATACAAGAGATTGCTCATATAAATTGCTCTTGGAGGTAGGGATAGTAACGGGACTGGGATGGCCCCGCTCTTCATCTCTGGCCCCGTCTCCGACCCCATCCCCTTACGAGGTTTCGGGGAATCCCGTTCCCATCCCCATCGGGTGATTATCCCCCCAAACCTGCCCTCGAATCCCTGATTTTTTTTGTATAACTTGATCTCTCTCACTTTGAACGTCCATGTGCAAGAACTTGAAATTGAACATAAGCCAAATCAAAATTAAAGTTAGGAACTTGCAATCTAATAGGCATAATCTTTATCCTTCAACAGAATGTTGTGATCTAATTTTATTTTATTTATTTTAAAAAAACTAAACACTCGCACTGTTAGTTTATTCATTTAATCTAATTTTCTTTGAACTAAAATTCCCAGTTATATATACAAAGGTGGAATCTAAGCTACTGCCAACATCAATCATAAATCACTATTACTAACAGCAACTTCTGAGCTTTAAGTAAATTACCCAAGCTGGCAAGTTAATTTTTAACACTTCTCTTCTCGAAAGCAAAAACTTCAGCTCACTTAACAACGAAATTGTTTTGCAGAACTTAACTCAGATTTGGATTTGGATGTGGATTTGAATGACTTGGGTTTGGGAGGTGCTAAGAAGATGCTAGGGTAACAGAATATTATATTATATATTTATTATTTAAAAATAAACATATAAGTATCAGGCCGGGTTCGAGTATGGGGATGTCAATACCATCCCCGCTCCACATCTAATGGGGATTTTTAAAATTTGGGGATCCATGTACCCGATCCCCATTTTACCGGAAATCTTCCCTCGTTAAGGCTAGGTCTTTGTTGGATCCCCGCGCCGACAAGAATTTTTGCCATCCCTACTTGGAGGAGTGCATAACTTTTTTGGGGTACTAATTAACAACTCCCTTTTTTTTTTTTTCATGTTTGTTTTGAATATCCTTATAAATTTCTAAGTTAGAGATTTAATTAGTCTCTTGTTTCTTGATCTATAATTTTTGTGTGTACATTTACATACAATCAATAAATGAGTCCTCTCAAATGAGCTTGTAACGATCTAGATAATTTAAATAAATACTGCTAGTCAACTAGATATTATAGTTTAGTAGGCAGAGGTACAAGTTTGAATTCTCTACAGCCACTTTTTTTTTTGTATGGTTGTTAGTTTAGTGGTATTTTGTATATATGTTATGAAGGCAGAATTTGTCATGAGTTTACTTGAACATTTTGTATTTTCCTTGTTCGTTTTACACTTCTTTCTCTCGGTTTGGGTTGTGGCTTGCAGGTTTTTGTTTTGGCGTGGCGGGGGGAGTACACTGCCAAATATTCTGATCACGTCTTGCAATTTAATATAGCTCTTTGGGGGGGTGTTGTTAAAAGGACTCTTACTTGCATATCACACGTCTTAGAGTCGACTTTTCATAACACATTGGTAGTGTATGTGCGAAAAATTCTCATCTCACTTGTAGTTTAAATTATCACTTGTATTATCAATTGAAAACAAAAAGGCAATGAGGGCGGCGGTTAATGCCAGATTTTCGTGCATGTTTTTCCTTCCTAGTATATAAACATATGACAATTAATATATTATTTGTTTATTTTCACGTTCCAGAAAAAGTCCACATGGTTGCTAGTGTATCAATTAATAAAAATGGTCTTTAGTTAAGCATAGCGCTGCTTCATGGATGGGACTATACATCGTCTATAAAGCTGCAAAAGAACAGGAAAAACAAGGTTAAAATCAAATAAATAGGATTTTAGGAAGATGAGTTAAAAACGAGTTTTTGTTTTTTTCGCTCAAGTAGAGAAGAAAATGAGACTGAGGATGAGATTGGTAGAGAAGACGAGAGGAAAGAGTAACAAAAGTGAAAACAATTTCAAATAGATTTCAGTTTTTAGTTTTGGTTTTCAATTTTGTTACTCTTCCACCCATCTTCTCCTCTTATATTCCCTCTCAATTCCTTCTCCACTCTCATTCTCACTTCCATTCTTCCTCTTTTTTATCTTTATTCTAACACAGAGTGAAAACTAAAAACTAAAATTGAAATTGTTATCCAATGGGTCCTTAATATTTGAAGTTTATACTATTTACGAAACTTGATAAGGGTGTTAAAAGTAAATGAAGATGACAATAACACGCTATAGTAATATTATATAAAACCAAATCGATTCAAGCATTTGGTGGTCTACATGTTGAAATCAACATTGGTGTGACAATATCACTTCTTTTTTCTGTTATTTTTTCCCAACTTATATATGCTCTCACCTTGGATTTTACAATTTTTTTCAATAATATAAAAAATAGAACGGGTTAAGAATAAAAGAAAAGAGAAAAAAAAAACAAAGGGTAGTGCAAAATCTTTTTTTTTTAATTTTCCTTTCCTTTTAAAAAGCGGCAGCGGGAGTGGCGCGTCCGGCGCTGCTAATCGTTTGATTGGGAGAGATTTTTGTTTGAGTGCGAAAAGAAGAGGGAAGAGGGGGTGAATGCGAGGTCATCATGGGACCCAAATTTTGGCGTGAAAAAGCAGAAATTGCAGTACTTTTTACAAAGTCAAAAATATATATGCCCTAATCTTTGCTTATTTGAATTTCAAATGGGTGCCTTTTGATTCCCCAAGATTACATCAGTCTCTGATTGGTTTTGTAGTTTCATTCGTCCGGGGAGCATCATTAGCAAGCCTCAACTTTCAAACTTATGTCAAACACATGGATTTTTTTATTGATAATCCGACGATGATTAAGAATAAAACTTTTTTATTTATTTATGCATTGTGATATATTACGTTTTCAAAGAACCGTGTTAATTTAACATTAGAAAAAACTCATCTACATTCCACTATTTATCGACGTCACGTCATTCAGAGTCAAAAACTTACCTGTAACGTATGTATATACACTTTTCTTTTTATAACACTTTATCATATGATGTGTGACCACTTATTATGAGATAAAATGGACGTGTATACAACTATTATATACTTTCTTTTCTTTCTCTTGGATGAAATTTTCATTTCATTTGGATGTAATATATAGATGGTAATTGAGGAAAAAAGGAACACAATGAAGCTTTATTTGGAAAGACTTCCAAACATTCTCATAATGAATTGCATTTAGCAGATGGGTTTAAGATTAGGTGAGCTCCCTTTTATGGTCATCGTAGAGCGCATAAACTCCTCCACTAAGTAAGTAAACTACCTTTGTCGGCGAACCTAGAAAAGAGTCAGCAAATCGTTTGTAGCTGAGAATTTCGTGATATTGACTTTTTAGTGAATTTAAGTGCTGATTTAGCACTTTCTGGGAATTCTTGTTGCCACTAATTTTCTGGCTTTATGTGGTTAGGGTGAGGTTTGTTTGATAACTTATATGTTACTTAAAAGGGAAGGTTTACATACTTTGTGTTTGCCTTTGCTTACAACCAAACCACAGAAGGAAGTTATATTGGAAGAAAAACAATTGATCCAAAAGAAAGTGACAAGTAAACTTCTTTTCCTTTTCTTTTTTCACTTCTGAAATTGGTCTAAGATAATGGGTTTGTTTTCACTTTTAAAGACAAATTTGGGTTAAAAATGGGCTGTGTTGGTCTACTGGGCTTTGTCCAACGAATCCACAACCGGACATGCCAATACTTTTCCCAATTGCAATGCATGGAAGGGTAGGGCTCCCGATCGTAGAAGAATTGACCTCAAGAATGACCCAGTTACTAAACCAGACCCAGATTCAGACCCCGTATCAGTCTGTAACTTATGAATCTTCCGCAAGTGTTGAGATTTTTTTTTTTTTTTTCCCGTAAAGAATGCAGTTTTATATAGTAATTGTATTTGTTGAGGAAAAAAAAAGTTTGGTAGCTAGGTTGGAAATGAATACTCCTAAGATATACAGGGACAGGGTGATTTGCAAGACATTCCATCAATTCTTTCACTTCAAGTGCATGCCTATTTAACCTTGCATTTAAAATATCTCATCCTCTCCAGCCTAACATAAGCCAGTTCAACCAAAAAAAATGAGCCTCAAAACTACATGCCTTACATATTTTGTTGCCATCTTAGCAGTCTTATTGGCATCTAGACATGTCATTGATCCAAACTCATCACCCCTCAAACACATTGTGGATCTTAGTCTGGCCACAACTTCATCAGTGTCTAATTTGATTTCATATCTCATCCCAAACCACATAGGAAGACATCACAAAAAGCAAGACAATGGAACCATAGGATCCATCTGTGATGACTTCCCACGTGGCTTTCCTCCTCCAGACACCAACAAAACCTCCTACCTTTGTGTCGATCGAAATGGCTGTTGTAATTTCACACTGGTTCAAGCAGCTGTTGATGCAGCTCCAGCTCTTAGCCAGAAAAGAACAATAATTTGGATTAATAATGGGATTTACTAGTAAGTTCATTTGGCTTTCTTTTCCAACTCTTTCATTCAAAAGATAATTTCTTTCTTTCTTTCTTTGATCTCTTGAGTATTTTTAATTTTTGTTCTCGTTGTAAATTTTTAACAGTGAGAAAATCTCGATTCCGAAAAACAAACCCAACATAACATTTCAAGGACAAGGGTATGA